AAATGATTTTGAGAATTACGCGATGTAGACGCAATTTATCTCAAAAATAGTGTGAGCTGGCACATCCATGGTTCTTAATGGACCACATTGAAATCGGTATAGATCGATGAATTTTTTTTGGGTGCACACTGAAATCGGATGCGCGTTAATGACATATGGAGTTTTCGGAAATTATTCGCGTTTTACGGTTTTTTGGGTACTTCAATGTAACGTGCGGCACATCTTAGCCGTCAAATGAAATTTCGCAAAATATATATGGATTGGAAGATAAACTTCAGTACTTCCTGGAACCCGCATGCGCATCAAATGATTTTGAGAATTACGCGACTTATACGCAATTTAAAATGTATATTTCATAATATTATTTTATTTTAAGATTTATTCCTATTTATAGAACCCTAAGATTTATCGGAAGGGTCTTGATATAATCCGCAAGGCGTATACTTATACACAAAAAGTGATTATTATTATATATGTCAATTTTTCAGCGAAATTCGGGTAAAATAGCAGAATAACCCCAACATTTTGTTCTGAAATTTCTTGTATACAATTAAAAAAATAAATGTGATGACATTATTTTTTCGAACCAAAAACAAATAATTTTCCTCAATATCTTGTTTTGTTGTCGCTGTGATTTACAAACAGCTACACGGACTTGTGTGATTTTGATATCATTTGATTCACCATGGCGTTTAGATTATGTAGATATTTTTAAATTAATTTTTAGGTGTGTGTATGTCATTAATATAATGAAAATTTTTACGTAATCTCCTATATTTTCATTATTTTTCTCATATTTCGCGAAGATGTGCAACTTTTTCGCGATTTTTATAATATATTCATATTCTTATTTTACGGAGGAAGATATATATCAAAGTTTTTGGTCTATATAATAAACGGCGTAATTTTAAGATTTTTTTCTTATGCCCAAAATTAAAACCTCGATAACTTTTGCGCGCATCAACCAAAAATTTGATCGCGAACGGTTTCGGAGTCAGAACATTTTTCCCTATATGTGTACCAAAAATCATTGATGTGCCACAAAAACAAAAAAGCTGATTTTTTGAAAATGGAATATTAAAAAATTGGCAATATTGCCCATATATATATATATATATATATATATATGAACTGTAACCCGCTTTTACGCCCAGCCCCTGTGTGGGAGGTACCAGAAGGAGGGTTCGAACTGGACTAATTTTGGAAGAAATAATAAGATGCGCAAAGTTTGGATGAAATCAAAATTTTTTGAAACAAATTCGGTCCAAAGAAACATGGGGTCAAGTACAAATGTTTAGAACCATAATCGGTTTGTAGAAATTTCGGTATAGGTACACTTGTTGGTATGTTCCCTATATTTTTATTTCAAGTACCTGTCAGTATATCTATGGTATGGGAGGGTATCCAAAGTTCGGCCCGGCCGAACTTAACGCTTTTTCACTTGTTAGTTTTTGCATTTATTAACAAATCAACACGGAACTATGTGAGGAAAAAAGGAGCTATAAAGAGCAAAGGAAATGTATGGAGTAAAGGCACTATATGGAGCAAAGGAACTATAAAGAGAAAAGGAACTACATTAAGGAATTAGTTCCTTTTTAAAAAAGGAACGAAAAAGATCGATCCGCTAAGTAAACTAGATTGCCCAACTCCATTGTATACCCTCCGCCATAGGTATACTGCCAGGTACTTGAAATGAAAATATAAGGAACATACCAAAAAGTGAACATATACCGATAATTCTACAAACAGGTTTATTTAAACCATTGTGTACAGCAAATACACAAATTTCAGCAATTTTTAATGAAAACCCCAAAGCGTGGGCTGATACTTATAACGCATGGTACGATATACAATCCTCAAAGTTCTGTACCGTAGGGAATATTTGGGTTATAGTTATATGAGAGCTATGCCTAATTAATGACCGACAAATGTCAATTTCGAACAAAATATTTTTGTTTTGTGTCTCAATTCTTTCCTTCAAGAGGTATTATATGGGGTGATATGGGAACTACCCCTAAAAGGGGCGAATATTAATAATTTTTGGTAGGAAGATTTGTTACCATATGCGACTACAAAATACCAAATTACAGCGAATTCGGTTGAAAAACGCGCTCAAGAACCCAAAAATACCGAAAATTGAGGGTGTCTTATATGGGAGCTACCCGAAAAAATGGGACTATATTTATATTTTTTAGTGAAGAAATTTGGTACCCAATAAGAACCCATTTATAATTTATAGTGGAGACATTTGGTACCCAAAAAGGAACCCAATGTACCAAATTGCAGCGAATTCGGTTGAAAAGCGCGCTCAAGAACCCCAAAATATCGAAAATTGGCCGGTACCCTTATATGGGGGATATGCCTATACGTGGACCGATATATCCCATCTTCGAACTTGACCTGCCTGCAGACAAAAGACAAAAGACTCTATCTTCCTTTAGAAGATAGCGTGATTACAACAGACGGACGGGCATGGCTTGATCGTCTTAGAATTTTACCCTGATCAAGAATATATACATTATAGGGTCGAACATGAATATTTCGATGAGTTACAAACGGAATGACAAAATTAATACACCCTCCATACTATGGCGGAGGGTATAAAATTGACTTACAAATCTTTCAAATTATCATCGCCCTACGGATAAAACTCTAATAAATAAAAATTGCTGCAGATAGCACTGCTAGGATTCGAAGCTACGTTCCCAGAGCATCTCAAATGTTGCGAATTCTACTCGATCTCACCCTTACAATACTGAGACATGAGCCTTTAATTTTTTGAACTTCTCATGGTATTTTTTTTCCAGTCTGTGCCTTTAATATTAATCTTCATCGGAGGACATAATATTTATCTACTTATTCGGTTTCCAATGAATATAAACTCTTGCGAAAGTAATCTGGCTTTCCGATTTGTCAGAAATAAAATAAGTTTCTTGATAGTTTCCGAACATCGTCCACGCTCTGTTCTTGAGGTTATATCCAACGATAACCATCTCACCAATTCCGTTGGACTCTTAAATGGGTATTTTTTACTACTATGGCAAATTTTTGATCGGTTCGAACTGATGTTGTTTAGAAGTGCTGAAATGTCAAAACTGATCTTGTTGCATAAAGCCGACATCACATGGAGAAATCACTGATTCATTACTGAAATATTTTTCCGAAAAAAAATTCTGTGATAAATTATTTTGCTGTTTTATAGGTGTACTGCATTTGTTTCTAGTCATTTTTATACCCTTCACCACACTGTGGTACCTGGTATTATGTCTTCGTGTATATGTTTGTAACAGGCAAAAGGAATCGAATTGACCCATGGTTCCTTTTGAGAATGTGCATAGAATCATTTTCTTTACGCATGTCCGTCTGTCCGTCCATGTATTTTTGTGAACAAAGTACAGGTCGCATTTATGATCCGATCTGGATGAAATTTGGCACAGTTCAGTTATTAGGCCCAAGGAGCAACCCTATTGGAATTGGAGAAATCGGTTCAGATTTAGATATAGGTCCCATATATATTTTCGTCCGATTTTATGTAAATGAAACACCAAACTCTCAATATTTGTCCGATTGGGACAAAATTTTGCACAGAGTACTGAATTAGGTCCAGACTGATGTCTGCGAAGTTTCGTGAAAATCGGTTCGGATTTAGATATAGCTGCCATGTATAGTTTCGTCCGATTTTTTGTGAATGATACACCAAACTACCAATCTTTGTCCGATTGGGACAAAATTCTGCACAGGGTACTGATTTAGGTCCAGACCGATGTCTGCGAATTTTTGTTAAAATCGGTTCAGATTTAGATATAGTATATATAGTTTCGTCCCATTTTTTGTTAGTGATGCACCAAACTCCCAATATTTGTTCGATTGGGACAAAATTCTGCACAGAGTACTGCATTAGGTCCCAATTGATGTCCCCGAAGTTTTGTTAAAATCTGTTCATATTTAGATATAGCTCCCAGATATAGTTTCGTCCGATTTTTCGTGAATGATACGCCAAACTCCCAATATTTGTCCTATTGAGCAAAATTTTGGAATGCAAATGCACTTGAGAAAAAAAGTATGTGTAATAAGGTTTGTTGAAATCGGTTCAGATTTTGATATAGCTCCCATATATATTTTCGTTCGATTTTATGTAAATGATGCACCGAATGGCCTATGTTTGTTCGGTTTACATGAAAACTGGCAGAGGGTATTAAATTGTATATAGAGTGATAACGAAAAACAAATGATGTATGCAACGGTTGCTCAATTAGGTCCATGTTTTTATATGTAGCTTTCATACATAATTTGACTCGATTTCTTACAAATGGTGCACAAAAGAGTTCAAGCCTGCCCGTTTGACATGCAAGTTTTCATTGATTTCAGTATGGTATGTCTATGGGGGTTTTCGATTGGTTCAAATATCTATCTAGATAGCACATTTATTTTCGCCCGATTCCATAACCCTATTCAACCACCAGTTCGGTGTGAATATGGATCCAAAATCCTCAAATTAAAGGAGTATTACAATATATAGGCTACCACGAAAACTGGATCAATATCGGTCGTTTCTAGTAGGAAGAATATCTAGCCAATTATAAACCATAGCCAACTCTGTTTAAAAACATGTCAGAAATCTTTAAACAAACTAAGAACTTAAAAAAAAATAATAACCAGCAAATTTGGTCGGAAATTATTTCGATTAATAAGAAACGGAAACCTCCAAGCTATATACAGAAGGAAACAAACTAAGAATTTAAAAAAAAAAAATAACGTGACTATTGAATACTTGAAAATCGAACAGATACAACCCGTCATCGAAACTATAATGAACAACTTAAATTGGAAATGGTGTAACAGATTACAATTGCTTTTTACTCGTGTTTTATTTATTTCTTTCAAAAATTCAAAATTAAACTGTCTGCTCTCGCTTTTAGGGGTAATTCAACACAACAATGGATAGAATATTAGGTTTGCTCATCTTTATGGGAATTTCGGTTGTCTGTTGGACAAAGCCAATGTCAACGTCAACCTCTACATCTGCCCCGCCAACCTTATTTTCCCTCTACTATTTGAACGAAAGTGAAATCTTGCATGATAACGACAGCGTTGACAATGCTGATGATGTCGTCAATACTATAGCCGACAAAGACAAAGATTATCGCCAACAATATGCTGCTCAAATGTTGACGTATATGAACCATTCCATAGATCCATGTGATGATTTCTATGAATATGCCTGTGGTAATTGGAAAAATACGATACCGCCAAGGCAGGCGGAACACAAACGCAATAGTCTGTTGGATGTAAACTACAAATTGGATGACTTAGCTGAAATGATATTGACATGGCCCAACATAGATGATATCGCTCCAGAATATTCCGAAGAATTTAAGACAGCACAAAAATTCTACAACAATTGCCTAGAGAGTGAAATATTTCCCATGAAAAAATCCCTAGAATACTTAAAGGCCATTGAAAAAATTGGCGGCTTTCCAGCGGTGCAACCGCAGTGGAATGCCTCAGAATTTAGTTGGCTCAATATGAGTGCTCACATGGGCAATTACGGTCTCAGTAATTTAATAAAAGAGGAAATAATACCACAGTATCCATTCGCGCCGTATTTTCAAATTCCCGAATTTGGTTTTGACATTGAACTTCACTATGATAACATCAAGAATAGTTCATCGAATGCCTACAAAGTCAACTGGCAGACAATGAATGACATATTGACGGCCTACGAAGTGGAGCCGGCAGAGCGGCGGGAGGCTATTATCAGTGAAATATTTGAATTTCTACAGGCTGCCTTAAATATTGTCGAAGAATTCGATGAAAATGAATATACATGTAGTGCCCTATCGGCGGACATGGATGACGATGTTGCTGGGGAGTTAGATCAACATTGGCGTGTCTATAATCAAATAGCATGGATGGGAAAATCTGAGCTATTCGATGAAAACGAGAAACCATGTACCTATTTATATTATAATTTAGATAAGCTATGTACGGAACGTAAAGAGGCTGTAGCTAATTATTTGGCATTGAAATTTCTCTATCATATTGATGCTCACCTTAAGGATGTCCAGTTTCAAAAGGATTTTTGTATCGCGCAGATAAAACGTACAATGAATTATTTCTTCGATCATTTGTATATGAAGGTGAGTCTAAAGCATTGAAAAAATATTCTTGAAAAAATTCAAGCCTTGTCTAAGGCGTCGTAAAACTATTCTTAAAAAAAATGAAGCCTTGTCTTAGGCCTTGAAAAAAAAATTCTTGTAAAAATCCACGCTTGGTCTAGGGTCTTAAAAAAATATTCTTAAAAACATCAACGCCTGGGGTCTTGCAGGGGTCTTGAAGGTCTTGAAAAAATATTGTTGAAAAAATTCACGCCTTGTCTAAGACCTTGAAAAAATATTCTTGAAAAAATCCACGCCTTGACAAAGGCCTTGTAAAAATATTCTTAAAAAAATCTACGCCTTGTCTAAGGCCTTGAAAAAATATTATTGAAAAAATCCACGCCTTGAGAAAATCCACGCCTTGTAAAAATATTCGTTAAAAAATCCACGCCTTGTCTAATGCCTTGAAAAAATATTCTTTAAAAAATCCACGCCTTGTCTAAGGCCATGAAAAAATATTCTTGAAAAAATGTAAGGAATTGAAAAAATTAACTCCTTGTCTAAGGCCTTGAAAAAATATTCTTGAAAAAATGTAAGGACTTGAAAAAATTAACGCCTTGTCTAAGGCCTTGAAAAAATCTAAGGACTTGAAAAAATTAACGCCTTGTCTAAGGCCTTGAAAAAATATTCTTGAAAAATGTAAGGACTTGAAAAAATTAACGCCTTGTCTAAGGCCTTGAAAAAATCTAAGGACTTGAAAAAATTAACGCCTTGTCTAAGGCCTTGAAAAAATATTCTTGAAAAAATCTAAGGACTTGAAAAAATCCACGCCTTGTCTAAGGCCTTGAAAAAATATTCTTTAAAAAATCCACGCCTTGTCTAAGGCCTTGAAAAAATATTCTTTAAAAAAATCCACGCCTTGTCTAAGGCCTTGAAAAAATATTCTTTAAAAAATCCACGCCTTGTCTAAGGCCTTGAAAAAATATTCTTTAAAAAATCCACGCCTTGTCTAAGGCCTTGAAAAAATATTCTTTAAAAAATCCACGCCTTGTCTAAGGCCTTGAAAAAATATTCTTTAAAAAATCCACGCCTTGTCTAAGGCCTTGAAAAAATATTCTTTAAAAAATCCACGCCTTGTCTAAGGCCTTGAAAAAATATTCTTTAAAAAATCCACGCCTTGTCTAAGGCCTTGAAAAAATATTCTTTAAAAATCCACGCCTTGTCTAAGGCCTTGAAAAAATATTCTTTAAAAAATCCACGCCTTGTCTAAGGCCTTGAAAAAATATTCTTTAAAAATCCACGCCTTGTCTAAGGCCTTGAAAAAAATATTCTTTAAAAAATCCACGCCTTGTCTAAGGCCTTGAAAAAATATTCTTTAAAAAACCACGCCTTGTCTAAGGCCTTGAAAAAATATTCTTTAAAAATCCACGCCTTGTCTAAGGCCTTGAAAAAATATTCTTTAAAAAATCCACGCCTTGTCTAAGGCCTTGAAAAAATATTCTTTAAACATTTCTAAGACCTTGAGAAAACATTCTTGAAAAAATCCACGCCTTGAGAAAACATTCTTGAAAAAATCCACGCCTTGTCCAAGGCCTTGAAAATATATTCTTTAATAAATCCACCCCATGTCTAAGCCCTTGAAAAAATATTCTTTAACAAATCAAATTTTTAAAAATATTTTTTAAAAACTTCACTCAAAAAATATTATTAAAAATTCGAATACCGTATTTAACAAATATTCTGTCAATATTTTTTTCAGGTCTTCTTCAACAAAGATCTGCGAAGTGATGTTGAGAAAATTATCAAAGATATACGACAAAGTTTACACACCATTCTGGCGGAAGCTGATTGGCTAGATGAGGCGACACGAGATGCTGCTCTGCAAAAAGAATCAGCTATGAGAGAATATATTGGACGTTACGAAGATTCCGATATTACCAAACGTCTGTTGAGCGAATTGAAAAATCTGAAATTTGAAGAAAACAATTACGAACGGAATGCCCTCAATATGCGGAAATTTAAGCAATCAATGAAACGTTTTAATGGCCTCCACTTTGAACAGCTTGCCAATGATACGAAACCTCTGGATTTAATATTGGGTATGCAGGTCAATGCTTTCTATTATAATATCGATAATGCCATTTATGTTACGGCTGGTATTCTTCATCCTCCCGCCTTCCACAAGGCCTGGCCAAATGCCTTGAAATATGGCACCCTTGGTTATCTGGTGGGTCATGAATTTACTCACGGTTTCGATACAATCGGCTCGAACTATGATGGGGCTGGTAACAATATATATTGGTGGTCGGAAAAATCCGGTAAAGTCTTTGGACAACGTTCCGAATGTTATGTTAAACATTATCAAAATTATTCAATACCGGAAATTAATCGCAACATAAATGGCAACTTGACGAAAGATGAAAATATTGCCGATGGTGGTGGTTTGAGAATGGCTTTTATGGCCTATCGTCGTTACATGAAGGAATTGACGAAAAATTCAGATTTAACTAATGAAAATCTTCTGAAGGAGGAACAAATGCCCGGTTTAGATTTATCACCGGAACAGTTATTCTTTTTGGGTGCAGCACAACTATGGTGTTCGTCCTACAAAGAGGCCCACTACTGGGAAGAGTTGTCCGATGAACATACCATCGATAAATATCGTGTCTTGGGTTTGGTATCGAATAATGCAGATTTTGCCAAGGCCTATAATTGTCCCATAAGTAGTAAAATGAATCCTTCCGTAAAGAAATGTGAAATTTGGTAAATGTTGTAATAAAATATTTACTTTTTATGTTTGTTTAGCATTTTTTTTTTTTTTAATTTTATAACTTTAACTTTTTGTACCTAATTTTAAGCATATTTTATAGAAAAAATAAAAATATTCAAAAACAGACTGGATAAAAATTAGAAATGGAATACATTTAGATTTAAAAATATATTTGATAAAAATTAGCAAATGGGATACATTTAGAATTTAAACAATATATTTGATATATACTAATTAATTTTGAAATATGTAAAAAATTTTAGATGCATCGTTTACTACAATTTGGTATTTTGGGTTCTCATTGAATAACACATATCTGTACAAAAAAATGTTTAATATTGACCCAAGCTTCAGGGTAGCATCCATATACCAGTATGCCCCAATATTTGGTATTGGGGTTGTAATTTGGTATTTTTTGTTCTCATTGTATAGCACATCTCCGTACCAAAAGTAACCTCACCACTTGTGTATATGGTACATATGTATCCTTACAATTGTATGTCAATGTTCCCTCGAAGGAACATAATAATGTCTTCGGCAACCTATGATAAATTTAATTAAATTCGGGCAGATTTAGAGTCGCCTGCGTACCAAGGGACAAATTTCTGGAAAATGATTCATAGCGAAAATGATACACAACATTCGGTACGCCGCCGTTCGAAATATATATGGAAGCTATGGCTGATCTGCACCAATTTCAACAAAACCCAATATCGTCATTCAAGTCTCAATTTGATACGTTGTGCCATTTCAACAAAACCCAATATCGTCATTCAAGTCTCAATTTGATACGTTGTGCCATATTTCGTGTTTATCGGACAAACCTTAGGAGTTTGGTGCACCATTTATGTAAAATCGGACGAAAATATATATGGGAGCTATATCTAAATCTGAACGGAATCGGACGAAAATATATATGGGAGCTATATCTAAATCTGAACGGATCTTCACTTAGCACACATCATTCTAGACTCAATTCAGCCGCTGTGCCAAATTTCGTGCAAATCGAAAGTTTTATATGTCGAATATATATATGGGAGCTATATCGAAATCTGAACCAATTTTCACGAAACATAGCACACATCATTCTAGACTCAATTCAGTTCAGTATGCCAATTTTCGTGCAAATCGAAGATTATATAAGGTCTTTGGTGCACCATTTACATTAACTCGGACGAAAATATATATGGGAGTTATATCTAAATCTGAACCGATTTTCACGAAACTTAGCACACATCATTCTAGGCTCAATTCAGTACGCTGTGCCAAATTTCGTGCAAATCGAAAGTTTTACAGGGACTTTGGTGCACCATTTGTCTTATATCGGTTGAAAATATATATGGGAGCTATATCGAAATCTGAACCGATTTTCTGGAAACTTAGCACACATCATTCTAGGCTTAATTCAGTACGTTGTGCCAAATTTCGGGCAAATCGAAAGATATTTAGGGACTTTGATGCACCATTTACCTTAAATCGGACGAAAATATATATGGGATATATACGTATATATACTTATATTTATTATCGAATAATGCGACCTGTACTTTGTTTACAATTTAACATGGACAGACAGACGGACGGAAAAGTAGTAAATTCGGAAGGGGCCGACTATATGATACCCTTCACCACTTTGGACATATTCAACATATGTATCCTGACAGACGTCGCATTTTTTAAAGAACATAACATAAGAATAATCCATCTGCAACCTAAGCTATATTTCATCTAATTCGGACATATTTAAACCCATTTGTGTACACATGCTATTCGACATGCTGCAGCACAGCACACCGTGCAAAATCTAATCTCACTCGGACAATCGTTGAGTTTTTTGTGCACAATTATCTTGAATTCGGTCGAAAATATATATCGGTGCATTGTCTGAATCTGAATCTTGTCTCAATTTGAAAAGCTTTGCACAATTTCTGGTCAATCGAACAAAAATGATGAGTTTGGTGTATCATTTACCTGAAATCGGACGAAAATATATATGGGAGCTATATCTATAACTATGTGTGGGAGCTACATCTATTTTTGAACCGATTTCCACAGAATTTCGTAAACATCAATCTGTGCCTAATTTAATACACTGTGCACAATTTTGTCTCAATTGGCCAAACATTGGTAGTTTGGTGCACTATTATAGTAAAATCGGACAAAAATATATATATATATAGCTCCCACATATATTTGCGTCCAATTTGTATACCCTTCACCACACTGTGGTACAGGGTATTGTGTCTTTGTGCATATGTTAGTAACAGGCAAAAGGAAACGAGATAGACACAGGGTTCCTTTTGAGAATATGCATAGAATCACTTTCTAAGTCGATTTATGCATGTCCGTCCGTCCGTCTGTCCGTCTGTAGATGTTAAATTGTAAACAAAGTACAGGTCGTATTTATGATCCGATTTGGATGAAATTTGGTACATGTCACTTATTTAGCCCAAGGACGAACCCTATTGAAATTGGGAAAAATCGGTTCAGATTTAGATATAGCTCGCATATATATTTTCGTCCGATTTAAGGTAAATGGGGCACCAAAGTCCCTATATATATGTCCATTTGCACGAAATTTGGCACGGAGTACTGTATTAGATCCAAAATGATGCGTGCCAAGTTTCGAGAAAATTGGTTCAGATTTAGATATAGCTCCCATATATAGTTTCATCCGATTTAAGGTAAATGGTGCATCAAAGTCCCTTTATGTCATTCGATTTGATCGAAATATGACATAGAGTACTGAATTAGGTCCAGAATGATGTGTGCCAAGTTTCGAATAAATCGGTTCAGATTTAAATATAGGTCCCATATATAGTTTCATCCGATTTAAGGTAAATAGTGCATCAAAGTCCCTATATGTCATTCGATTTGCTCGAAATTTGACATAGAGTACTGAATTAGGTCCAGAATGATGTGTGCCAAGTTTCGAGAAAATCGGTTGAGAGTTAGGTATAACTCCCATATATAGTTTTGGCCGATTTTATGTAAATGGTGCACCAAAGTCCTATATACCTTTCGATTTGCCTGAAATTTGGCACAGCGTACTGAATTAAGTCTCGAATGATGTGTACTAAGTTTCGAGAAAATCTATTCAGATTTAGATATAACTCCCATATATAGTTTGTTCGATTTTATGTAAATGGTGCACCAAGGTAAATGAAGAACTCAATATGTGGCCGAATGCAAAAAACATATTGAAAAAAGTGTAACCTAACATGTGGCAAGTTTCGATGAAATCGGTTTAGATTTCGATATTTTGATTTAAATTTATTTACATAATTTTGTCCCATTGTAAGAAGCAACTCTATATCTGACCAAAATTTAGTATATGTTGCAGAATGACATGTTTAATTTCATGTTAATGGTCCTTCAAAAATGCGACGTCTTTTAGGATTCCATCTGACGAATATACCCAAAGTGGTGAAGGGTATTGTTTGTGGAAGTTGAAAAGGAACGCAGGGGGCAATCTGAAGATGGAATGGAACGTCTCTTGAGCCAATGAAAAGAAAAACAGAATCCCAACTCGAAAAAGAATTGTGAACAATGTTTTAATTGTGTCTCAGATCCAACTCAAGAGAATGGAATGAAAGAAAAACAAAAGCAATAAAGACAACTATGTGTTAGGATTTCTGTGATTTCTATGGATTTATTTACTATGGATTTCGATCTTACCAGTATGAAAGCTAATTTCGAATAGAACAGTGCATATAAGGACTTTGACGGAAGTTGCACTAGATATGGTTGTAGATTTTGCGGCGAAGAAATTATTCTGTAATCGATTGTACAGTGCAATCGCTATGTTTAAATGTTAAACGATATATCGTATAGAGTAATAGGTTGGGAATTTTAATGAAAATTCAAACCGGGAAATACAAGTAAAAAAAGGGAAATATCAGTAGGTTGAATTCCAGTTTATTTTTGGAATAAACATTGCCGCCCCCTTTGCAGGGTGTCTGCAATAAAAATTCGTAACCATATCTAGACACTTTCCATTTACAATTCATATTAGTTATTCATTTATACAATTTGTTTATACAGAAAGATAAATTGTGACATTAATCATTAGATTTTATGTACAATATTTCATTAACAGTTCATTCAATTAATTCATTTTTTATTTACATTATTTATATACTTAAGAGTAGAGAGATTAGTTTACATTTCTATTTTTGTTCTCATGATAGTGCGAGAGTAACTCATGGTAAAGATTTTTTTTTTATAGTTTAAGCTGAACATATTCCATAAATTATCCACCCAAAAATTGTGTTTTGGGCTGTAGGTAGGCCTTCCCTGTTAATTACCCCTTCAGTAATTATTCGACTGTAAGCATCCATACCTAAGACTATATCTATTGAAGCAGACTTATAGAAGTTATCGTCAGCTAGCACAAGGTTTTGGAATTTGTTTTCGTAGGATTTTAATAATGATTTGTTTGGTGTGTTAAAAGATATTCTATTGTTCACTTTAAAGACAACATCTAACTTTATATTCGGATTGTGCGTTGAAATTAAGGTTAATGGACAAATAGTTTCATCTTTGAGAACCAATGTTGTGACAGTGAATTTATCAACAGCATTTGCTGATATACAGCTACTTTGTGAACCTGAGTCAAGCAACCCTCTTAATTTAATTTTTCTATTCTTTGCCACCACATTTACGACTACAGTGGGAAGTAATGCCACAGAATTTTGTTTTAGTAGAGCGCTAAGGGTTATGCTTTTGGTTTCAGTAGAGTTTTGCGTATGGTTGGAATTCTCTTTCGACACAGATTCCTTGACTCTCTTTGTCTGTGGTTTAGACATCGACGAATTTGCTGAAGTTTCTGATTTTGCATTAATTCTCGGAGATTTACTAAGGTTAGAATGGAGATGTAGTAGAGTATGGTGGTTTTTGTGACAAATTTTGCACCCTGTCTTCGTAAAACAGGTCCCCTGGGAGTGGGTATGTGCCAAGCAATTCTGGCAATATCCATAAGCTCTCACTATTTCCAA